AGTGAAGGGTTGGGGGGAGGAAAAGAGTTTTTGTTTTCCACTGAATGCCCCCAGTCCTGAGGCATCTCTTTTGTGGGTGCGTATTGCTGCCATAATAGCAAATCCAATTCAGAACACCGAATTTTCTCTAAGTGCAGTTAGTCTACTGTCCTGTTTGATGGAGGCGGCTCATAGACAGTGGGCTGAGCATCTGCCTTCTTATCTTGAGCTGGTACCAAATGAGTCATTTGTGACAATACCCTAGGGCCTGACACAGCAAGGTGTCACCTCCACAGTCCTAGGGAGTTGAACCAAGACTTCCACCCCCAACCCATTAACCAAGGGTGTCTACCAAAAAAAAGGAAAAGAGGGAGAGAAGGCAGAGAAGAAAGGAAGAAAGAAATGAAGGAAGAAAAAGCATTTTCCAGCACACAATTACTCAGAATGATAAACATCCTTAATACTTTCTAAGAAAAATAATAATCCCTGAAACATCCAACAGCAGCACATAGGTATGACCGAGAAGAAAAGAAAATGCAAAAGCGTTTTTAAGAGAAGTCACCTCAGATGTTCTCTAGCTGGTGAGGAGCTTAGCAGGTCCAGCCATTCTGCTGGGATCCTCAGTGAATGCATCTATAAATCATCATAACACCAAAGTGCTTGATTAGGTGTCAATTTTAAGAATCAACTAACAGACAAAAACATGGAAGATTTCATTGTAATTTCAGAACAGGATGTAATATATTACAAACTTGAGAACATTATTATAATATAATTTGCCCCAAATCCCGAGACTGGAAGGCAGGGCGAGGTGTGATCCCTTGGTCCCAGGGAGGTGATAGGGCAACAAGCAACAGTTGCCACCTGAAGCTGGTGAACACGTTATGCGAATACCTGAGAAGAGGCCGTGAAAACACGCTCAGAGTGGGCAGTTGAGAGGAGGGAGTAGAGAGCTTTCTTTCTTTTCTTTTAAACCTTTCTGAAGGTTTTTATTTTAAACAATGTACAGATATTACTTTCACAACATCCATCAAAACAAAACCCTAGTTATTTTTTTAAAAAGTCATTTGCATCGATTGGGGACTGGCTAAATAAGCAGTGCAATGTCCTCACAACGGAACACAATGTGGTAATTTGTGGAAAGAGGTGAGTTGATACGAAATGTCAGGGAAAGATGATTACAATTGGTGTCAGAAAATGTAAAAAAGAAAATGGAATATGGATAGTATGTTCCCATTTATGGGAAGGAATACATGATACACAAGCATGCTTCTGCGTTTTTGTGTTCACAAAAATTAGAAACTTTCCAAAGGATGCACATTAGACTTGAGACTGGGAAAACCGAGGGCTGTCACTTCAACTTCCTGTGCTTGTACATTTTGACTTTTTTTTTTTTTTTAACAATACAGTGTCAGATTGCTTTTGTACTTAACCAAAACCAATGACAATTTTTCAAATGTACATTCAAATACAACTTTGCTTAGGAACCCAGATGACCCTGGATGAGTTGTCACCTGCAACAGAGAGTATGGGTGGCTGGGTGGCACTGGCTCAGTCAGTCCTTGTGTGCAGGAAACGCCTAATGGGAGCTGCACCCTGTGCCTGGACAGGCATCATTCCAACTGTGCAGCTCCCTACTGTGCAGGTCTTCATCAAGCTGCTGGTGCAGAGGACGCCTGGCTACAGCCTACTCACCCAAACCCTTCAAGACCTGGGCCCATGTGGACCTGTAGCTTCCAATGCTTGGCCTCCACCAGGATGGGACAGCTAGCTCTGCGTACAACTAACCAGCTCCAAAGGAAACAGCTCAGATCGGATGAACATTTGGGGAAAGCAATAAGTGTCATGTTCTTTTTCCAGGGGTGACCTTGAGGCCAGATGTCTATGGGGAAAAAGGCCTGGACATTTCCTACAACGTCTCTGATAACAGGACCTGGACGGACCTAGTATCCATCCTCCATAACTTCCTGGCAGGTAAAGTTTAAAATGTTTCCAGTCTCTACTTTTCTAAGAGAATTTCACTGCGGGGTGTGGGCTTGCTACCTCCTATCAGCCCCAGGGTGGCTGCAGTTGGAGGAAGGTGCCCACAGGTGTCTGTACCGGCAGGCTACTCGCCAGCAGCCCAAGAGGACAACATAAACTGCACCTCTGAGAAGGTATTCACCCAGGAAAGCTTCAGGGCCCCTAACCACACCAAGTTCTCCTGCAAGTTCACAGCAGACATGCTGCAAAACTGCTCAGGCCTGGTGGATCCCAACTTCGGCTTTGAGGAAGGAAAGCCATGTTTTATTATTAAAATGAACAGGGTAAGTATAAAAGGGTTGGAAATCAGAGATCCAGTACGAGGGCTCTTTTGGAGACTGCTGTGGGGTGGAGGGTCGGGGTGTGTAGCCCATCCCGCGACCATGCACACCCTCCTGGCTTCCAGAGGTGGTGGGCCAGATTTGCACCAGCTGCCCCTTCCTCACTCTGCTTCATACGCAACCGATTGGTTGGCTTGAACTTACTTCTCTCAAGTAAGCTCAAACTGAATACCAGCTGTTCAAACATGACACATACTTGACACTCTGTGGTATCTGAACACTGAGCAGCAGAGCATGAGGTTGTTCAGGGTGGCTGGGCAGCCATTTGTACACAAAAGCTGGAAAGAAGCTGGGCCATGTACAGGTACTGGGAGGATACATCAGAACCACCCAGAGCAGAGGTTTCCAATCTGGGCCAGGAATCCAACGACAGGCCCGGGACCAGGTGCTGAGGGAGGAAGACTGTGAGGACAGAACCAATGCAAGCAAATCACAGAAGGGCATGGTCCACCTAGACGGAGGAGTGTGCAGCAGAGGTGACACCTTAGTGGAGACATGAGGAGGCATGGGTTCTATCTGGGTGAGGGGGTAGGGGTCACGGCTCCATGCTGGCCAGCAGGTGTGGCCTGAGGGCCACAGGCTCCGAGCATTCGCGTGGGCACTAATTTCCTTCCTAAGAGGTCTAGAGAGGCTATAAATTTGTGCACTGCCCGCATCCCGGGTCCTAGCGGGGATCCTGTCAGAGCTGCCTGGCAGGTTTGATGGCAGCTCACACTCGCACAGCACAGGAGGGCTACGCACACAGGGGCAGGTGTGCAGGGAAAACGTGCTGTACCAGACTCCAGGCACAAGTGCTCACAAAAGGACCAAGACTTCAGGAAGCCGAGAAAGGAGTGACTTGGGAGCACACGTGGGCCAAAGAAGTTTGCATTGGGAGCTGCTGCACAGGAGACAGACACAGCCCTGTGCACACTATGGAGGGCCTGGGAGCAGCAGCCACGGCTGAGACCCTCCTGCCCAGGTCTGCCATTTGCCTTTGGCCAAGGCCACAGCCCTGTGGCAGGGCTTCTGGCTTTAAAGTAGGAGTTGGTAATATCTGCTGGGGGGTTATTAGAACAGGAACCACCTCCCAGGCCCTTCTCAGTGCCCTGCAGAAACCCCAGCTCAGAAGGGTCCCTCCACGCTCAGAAGAGCATGAGAAACCACAAGGACACCTTTCCTTTCCAGATCGTCAGGTTTCTCCCCAGCAACAAAACAGCCCCCAGGGTGAACTGCGCCTTCCTGGTGAGTGCAACCTTCCTCCGCTGTCTTGTTTATGCTAGAAAACCTGCGGGGATGATGTAACTGGTTTTCCCTAAAAATATCTCAATTGTCAGCCTAATAAACCGGATACACAAATTGCATAAACTATCATTTCAGAAAGTTTTATTACAGGAGATAAAAAGCCAGTAAAAAAAAAAAAAAAAAAGTTTTTTGTTATTGTTTTACTTCAAAAAGTATCTGGGGTAGTATATTATGCAATTAAAGTTTTTGGTGGCAATTTGGAAAAACCAAGGCACTTCTATTACTGTTTTGTCCTTTTTATTTGCTTCTTTACAAAAACATGCCAGATTATCAACAGCTACAGTTGTTTAATAGTGCATTTATATGGGCTACTAAGAGTTGGCATTTATTCCAGCTTTTCTCAAAACTAGTATTTAAGTACATGAAAAATAAACTAAATTTGTCTTCATTGAATATTTTCTAAAGCTGGTTTTCACCATTGTGCCTTCAACCAAAGGCATCCTGCTATTAGCAGTGGTCACCCCACTTGAGTAGTCTGCAGACATCACAGCCCTCAGAGCCTGTAATTTCTCCGTGGGGTGCAGGGTTCATCTTGTTTCCTTTTTCCTTTTTTAGTTATCTTGACCGCACATGAGTAGGCTGACTTAAGATTTTAACAAACACCAAAGTATCCTTCATGTTTTTTGACAAGCTCAAGCTATCCATGAGGCAATTCGCTGCCTCTGAAATGAAACAAATCCCACAAAAACATGTAGATCCTTATCCCAGAAAGCCATTCAAACGTTCGGCAAGACTGAGTGGCAAATCAGCCCACTCAGTCTTATCAGATTTCACTCCCATGTGTGGACAACATTCTTGGCTCTACTCACCTGTGTTATATCTACAAGGACTTAAAGTGGTAAAACTACAAATTTGATCAGTCACTAGGGATCTCAGAACTAATTGTAAACATTAGATCTAGTTTATGCTACTTACACAATGAAGTGTTTATGTGGTCACCGACATAGTGCACACATGTGCTCACACGCACATGCCACACCCAAGCACGCATGTATATACACATGCACATACACAGGAAGAGACCTGTAGAGGCACACACGCATGCACACATTTGGAGACAGGCACGCAGAGACACACATACACATGCACACACTCCCAAACCCTGCCTTACTCAGGCAGTGGCCTCTCCTCCCTCAGGACCAGCAGCACCAGGACGTCCAGCCCCTGCAGGTGGAATACTACCCACCCAACGGCACCTTCAGTCTACACTATTTCCCTTACTACGGGAAGAAAGCGCAGGTAGGTTTGCTTCACTTTTCCTAACAGCTACTGAAATCACCTCAAACTTAACAATGATTAGCAAAAAGGAAGCCATAAACACTCCCTATAAAAATGAAACAAAGGCATTACTTAGCCTATCCCAAGCATTTAATGCTCTGGGCGTTTCCCATACCCAGTTCTTCTAACTACCCCAAAACACACTGCTCTCATGCAAAATATAAATATAAAATCTAATTCTTCTACTTTCAGACAGCCTCCTAAATCCTTTTAGAAAATGCACATCGATTTCAAAGTACTCCCTCTCAATCTCTTGCTTTTTCCTGCTTTATTTTTATATTAATTTTCATCAAATACAAATCGAAGTTGAATTTGCCATTAGTATTGTCTGTCCCCTCCAGACCAATTCTCATTTCTAAATGGGGAAACATTACTTACCCCAGTGAACTCTGGGGCCCGTAGCAGAGCCTATGTGAGCTGTTACATCACTGCAGGTCTTACTTGGAACACACATAAGAATTATCCCTTTGTACCACCTAAATAAACACTCATCACGAAGTTTCTGACACATCTCCTCTTTCTGTACTTCCGTTTCAGCCCCACTACAGCAATCCTTTGGTTGCTGCAAAGCTTCTCAATGTCCCCTGGAACACAGAAGTTGTCATCGTGTGCAAGATCCTGGCGGAGTATGTGACCTTTGACAACCCTCATGACCCCTATGAAGGAAAAGTAGAGTTCAAGCTTAACATTCAGAAGTAAAGGAGCAAAGAGGCTGGCCTTGACCTGCAGGGAAACTTGCCGACCTCTGCCCTCGACTGCCTGCCCAGCTTCCAAACAATCTAAAAAGCCAACACTGAAGTCAGCTCAGTAACTCTAGACAGGCACCTGTGCGTCAGGCACTTAATATTAGAATCAACTACTTCTTATTAAATCTTTATTACTTTTTTAGATAGACTTTGGAGCTATGATAAAAATGTTAACATGATAACCTTAAGCCAACAGCTATCTAACTAACAAGGCCCTTAAAATGATTCATCTCTTTCAATATAGACATCACTTTTCTTATTATAACTTATTTTTCTATGCTTCAGTGACTATCCATGTAACAGAAAGACTATTAACGCACTGACTTAAAACATGACATGATAATGTACACTCTGAATATTTGCTTTAAAGAATGCAATTCCTAAACTGTAAAAATAAATATATTAAAGTCACCTTTACATAAAAGTCATATCTTTCCTGATAAGGGGAAAAATTACTAAGAAATCAAATATCTTTCCTTAAAAACATTCTTTTTAATGTTTCAATTGCAAGTCAGGGAAATTACAAAACAACGTTGGAGTGGGGCTATCACCTGAGAACAGGCACAATTACAGGACGCTAAGGACGTAAGACGCAAGGGTGTCATCAATGTGACAGAATCTATAAACCAGACGTAATTACAAACAGTAGTTAATCTTCCTTTCATCAAGCACAAGTCCCTCCCCTTCAACATCCAGGAACTCATGTGAAGCCTGCGACTGTATGCCTTTCAAAAAAAACTGAAATGAGAACACTGTGTGTAACAAACCAACCTGCTCTTACCTTGTGCTGCCCACTTTTCACCTAACCATAGGTTGAGGCTTGGTGCCTCTTCCCACATGAGCGGCAGGTGCAAAGTCGCTGCCAACAGAGTGACACAGAAAGCTCCACGCAACTACTGGATAGGAAAATCTGTCAAGCCGAAACATCAGAGAAACCCGATTACAAATCGTGTCTGAGGAGAAAATCAAAACCCTGTACGGGTTCCGTAAGGCTAATCACATATTTGTTGGGCATCTATAGTACCTAAGACAATGCAGTAAAGGTTCTTTATTGTTGATGCCATCAGTAAAAACTTTTTCAGCCACCTCAAATGTCAGGTCATATAGGTCAGGGGTCAGGTCTCCTTCCTCACCTTACAATCTTCTTTTTCTGAAAAGTCAAACTCATAAAATCTATCTCAACTTTTAGGATTCAGGAGAAAGGCAAGAAACAAACTCTCTCCCCAACACAGGCCACCAGAGAGGAGGCCTCACTTTGGTCTGTGTCCACTGTGAACCTCTTTCCTTGGCCCCCACTGTCTTTCGGGCAGCTGCAGGACAAGCTGAGGGGCAACAGTGGGGTCCCAAACTACCACTCGTTGGCCTGACAACCTCTCTTCACTCCAGCAAAAAGCAAGACTGACAGGATAAAATCATTTCTGGACAGTAATCTCTGAATTACAGAAACACAGAGCTTGTTTAAAATGCCCATGCGCGTTTTATTAATAAAAACTAACAGTGCCAAGTTAAACAAGTCAAACAATTAAAGTCTCTTTATATTCCATAAAATATTACAGAAAAGTTTATTTGTGTTTCAATAAAAAGACTATTGTTTTAGAACAGGCAGCTAACAGCAACTGTGCAGCTAATGGTTCTTTGTGAATAAATTTTAAAAGAGGCTACTGCCTGTCCTGAAATTCCTTTTTCTTTTTATAAAAAAAGAACTATTAAAAATGATTGACAAATTTTGAGTTAAAAAACTGTTAAAACATTCTCTATATTTAATTTCAACTTTATAATAGATTACAGGAAGATGCTTACGAAACAAATACAACATTTGTTTCAGTACATGTCTTTAAATGATAGACTTATAAGTATGTAAACAACTATATAATAAAAAGTTTCCAAACACTGCCTGTAAGAAATCAGGCAAATTTACCGTAAGCAATAAACCATTCCAAGCCTTCCAGACAGTTTTCATAGCTGCATCAGCATGGCAGTAAACTTTTACCAAACAAAACAAAAACAAACAAAAACAAAAAAAGAATTTCGCAATTTGTTGCTGCAACATAGACAAAAAAATCTATAAACTTGATGGAATCACACGGTCAATATAATTTAAGGGAAAATAAGTCATAATAAGATTTATGGTGCTTAATGTTGAAAAGCAGAGCTTTGCCATTTGCTGGGTTCTTTGGAAACTCGTCCTGGAGCCTCACACTCCGCCAGCGGGTGGCGCCATTCACAACATGCTGCAAATAAATGGCATTTGGGGTGGTGCACTCTCCTCAAAAGGATGACGTTTTATTTCATTGATGTGGATGGAGTACAACTTCTTCGGCAAACTCAGCAAGAACTGTTATGGGGCAAAAATAAACTCTGAATTTTAAAAAAGTAGGAAATGAAAACACAAAATCCTAAAAAGTAAATAAAGGCCCTGCGTCAGCACACTGGAATCAATACACACCGAAGCCCGTCTTAAAAGACCCTACAGAAAACAACCCTTGCTTGCTTATCAGAGGTGCACATCGAATTCAATAGCTTACCAATATCTTCTTGGGAGGAGGCCAAAAAGAAACAGAAAAACCCACATTAAAAAAAAGTTTCTCTTCCCTAAACATGTTTTCCTGAATCTGAACTTGAGGGGGAGTGGGGCCTACAAGCAAGAATATCAGTCTTCCTCATCATTTTCATTGTACTCTTCATCCTCGTCGTCATCCTCCCCAACATAGGACACAGGAGTCTCCACCCTGGACCCACTGTACTGAGACCCGCTGGAGCTCGTGGCCAGCATCCCATCCGCACCGTTGGTCAAGTCACTGAAAAGACAGGAGGTAACACAAAGATGGTGAGTGGTGCACATCTATGGCCCGCACAAAGACAGGCCGGTGTTTTAGGGAGGTTTCGGTAGATTCAATTATATAAACAGAAACAAAGTTTCACATATCTATAATACAGAAACTCAATACTGTGTTATTAATTTCATGCTTTTCATATCCTTTTCCAGCTTAGTCCATTTAAACATAACCAGTAAAATGAGGGGAATATTGACAAGACCACGATATTTAGTCTTTTCCCCTATTACTACATCAGAACAATTTCCCAAAGTGCACCAACTGAAAAACCATTACATCCTTCTTTCTAGGCCATTTACTTATGAACTCCTTAATCTCTGGGAAGGAGGTAGAAAATGGTTTAGAAAAAGAGCCTCAAGAAGAATGACATGGGACCCTTCAAAGCAAGGCTCCCTGGACAGCAATGTGTGGGAGGGCACTCAGCAAGTTCTGTGTGTGTGCAAGTGCACGATTATGTTGAGTGTGTGCATGTGTGTGATGGTGTGTCTATACGTTTGTGTATGTACATACACGTGTCACGTCCCTAGGCCCGTCAGCTCTTCTGGTGTCTGTGCAGGGTCTAGGAAACTAAGCCATGACAGTTGAGTCTCATGCAGACACTCTGCAATCTATACTTCCAGGAAGGCTCCAAGAACCCCACAGCTTTCTTGTTTTGTTGAATGTCATTTGCTGAAAGTCAGTGGGGCTGGCCCTAGGCAGGGGCCACAGGCCCAGAGGGGTGGGGTGGACTTGCTGGGCTAGGAGCTGGTAGGAGGCAGGGCTGCCCAAGCCCACACACTGGTCTTCAGGTGGGTGTCTAGAATCCATCTACATTCGTATTATGCTCCTGGGAGTCTCAACCAGGAACATGTGAAAATCTTTGGCTGTCACAACCAGGGGAGTGGGTACTGGCATCTGAGGCCAAAGGTGCTACCAAATGCCCCACAAGGCACAGGACAGTGCCCACAACAAAGGGTCATCTGGCCCAAAATGTCAACAGCGCCATAGGCGAGACCCTGGCCTAGACAGTGAGAGGTTTTAAGAGCTGGAATCCTGGTAAAAGACCCTTGAGTTAAGTCACCACCTAGTACCACAGCACAGAAAGAATCAGACACAAAGGGTTAGTTATCAACAAGGGGAACTGACAGGTGGTGTCTCATGCCAATCACAATAAAGAGAGAAAAATGCATATGTACACTACGAATTATAACTTGCTGAAGTTATGGTCAAAAGTAATTTAAATTTCTTAGTATCTGAGTTGAACAGCAAGAAAATGTACTCTAAGAAACATCAAGTATCAAAGGGATGTCAACCTAGAATTTAAAATTTGACAAGAGGTCATCCAGATTCTAGACTGAAAACGCCTCCTGTAACTACATGAAGGCTCAGAATCATCCCCCAGAAGCCTTGTGCAGTAAATTCGTTTAAAGATTAACAGGACGCAAAAGGGTCAGAACTACACTGGAAATATGGCTGTTATACCCTTGAAAAAGAGGTATAACATTTGGGGGGGGTGGCGCAAAAAATGATTAAGTAACAAGTGTTGCTTCAATTTGGCAATATGGGTCAGGAATCCTAAAGGGTTTGCAGCAACACAGAACCTACTACAGGCCAGAGCTGCAATATATTGTAACATTAAGAAATATTTTTATTAACATAAAAATATGCTATATTTTAATACCTTTTACTGGTATTTATTAACACTATACGATAAAAATGAAAACTATTAAATATTATACTCTTTGACGAAGTAATTCTACATCTGAAAAGTCCAGCCTAATGAAACAAGTCAGAAAGGATGAAAAATTTAGCCATAAAGCCACCCATTGCAACTTTTCTCATAACTGAGAACCACCTAAATGTTCAACAACAGAGGGCAGGCAGTTCAGTAAATTCTCATGCCTTCAAAAAATATTGTACCACATCACCATTAATGTTGTTTTTCCTTCTGAAATGGTAATAAGGGCTTTGCTTCCCTTGTTATAACAACTGACGTCTCTGAAAATTTAATCAATAAAATGAATTTCATGAAGATGGAAGTTGAGAAAATACCCAAATTCCACCCCTTGGAATAATAAATGTTTAGCATTTTACAGACAGACCCCTACACACACACAGCAGGAGAGTTAGAATTAAACTGGAGCTGACCTCTGTCGAAACCTGACCACATGCCAGACGCCTTGCAAAGGACTTCACCACCTCACTAAGCCTTGCAGCAAATCAATGCGTAAGCCATCAGCAATCCCATTTCATTGGAGTGGGCTAGCCTGCAGAGCCTGAAACCTCTCTCACAGCTGACCCCAAGGCCTCGCACACTCACTGCCCAGGCACAGCTGGCTCAGAGCTGCTCTGTGGCCTCATCTGTGTCACAAAGAAACCGAAAGTACCATGTTCAACGGTGGCAGAGCACCGCATCAAAGATGTGTATACGCTGTCTAATTTATTAGACCAATCTCATCTTGTTGCTAATTTATCTTACATTTTGAGAAATTAAACATTTATTAATACTTAGGATTAAAATAATGTATATAATTTATAATATAATACAATATAAAAGTTAAAACCATTTTGTCAATACTTAATGCTAAAATTATCTTCTATTCATTTTTAAAAAACTAAGATAAATACTTAGGGATGATATATTCTGCTCTGTGGGACTGCCAAGTCAAAGGTTATACATCGATTTAAATAATAAAACTTCAATAACATAGAAAAATACAATAAAAAGTAAAGTAAAAAAAGTGGGGGAAAATTATATTTACATTGTGATCTCAAGTGTGTTAAGAAGAAATAACATAAAAAAATATAACATACAATAAAAGGTAAATTGAAAAAAGCAGGGGACAAAATTATATATACATTGTAACCTCAAGTGT